CCCTCCCCCGCGCCCGCCCGGTTGCCGGAGCGCGTCGCGTTTGGGTTTAGTTGCCGCGCGGCCTCCGTCGCGAACACACGTGTGCAGGTCGGGCCCGTGCCACTCCCGAGCGCGAAGCGCCGCCTCAGCGCCGCCCCGACAAGGACCTGCGACACCCGAGGACTCTCCCAGGACTAACGAGGATTACATGTGTGCCAGTGCAGTGTGTGTGTGATGTATGTGCATCAGCAGTGAGTGCAAAAAAAATATTAAAAAGTGCCCAAGGATGCAGTGAAGTGAAATGAAAGTGCTCTGAGAGAAATCAAACGACGAGATATTTTTCTGACGGCTCTCGCGTGTGAGTGAGTGTGTGTGCGAGAGAGAGAGAGGGAAGGCGCGCGTTCTGGATACGGCAGACCCTTGCTCTGGATTACCTCGCATCGAGCAGCACCAGCGGGCACAGGACGCCCGCCGCAAGGCGTCCGCAAACATACGCGCGTCAACGAAGATATCCAAAGGTGCGTACGGGATCCTCACGACGACGGGGCAGAAGCGGGGCGGGGCGGGATTATTTGAGGTGAGGGCATTCCATTCCATTTCATTCTGTCCCATTCCTTTCCGAAGGGAGGGACAGCAGCAGCTCGGCCGACCGAGGATGTTCGCTAGACGTATAAATAAATTCCTCCCCCCCCCCTCCCTCCTCCCTCGAACAGACGTGCCTGCCGCGGTTCCTGGTCAGCCAATGCGGCGCAGCGCATGCAAAGAGAAACAAAAGGAAAATGATTTAGCAAACGAACGTGCCCAGCTGCTGAGCCGCGCCGCCGCCCCGCCCCACCCCGCCACGCCTGCATCTGGTCGGGCGGGGCGGGACGGCAACTGGTCAACCGGCCGGCCGACCGGGAGGCCGGGAGGGCCGTCCTGCTCCAACAGCCGGCCCTAAAAGTTTTTCATGAAATTCACTCCGAGTCCACTCAGCTCCACGGACGACGTTGGACCAGGCTGGTCGGGCAAGAAACAACACCGAGACAACCCTGGCACGGCCTACGGTCTACGGGACGAGTCCACTGGACCGCGATCGGCTCGACTGTCATTCCCCCAAATCTGTCGCGCTCAGCTCAGGTCGGGCGAGGAGGGGGACCGCCCCTCGAGGCGCGGCTTAGCGACGCTCCCCGCAGCAGTGGCCGTGCTTTTGCAGGACTCGTATCATTACACCTTTTACGCCGAGCGGAGGGGCCGGGGGGCCGGGGCCGAGGGTGCCTGGCCGGCGCGGCGTGGCGCGGCGCGGACCTGCCTGCATTCCTTTATTACAACTCATTAGACAGCGGGCGGGGCGGGGGCCCGGCGGGGGCCTGGAGGAGGTGGGGAGAAGGGGGGCGCAGGGGGGGCTAATGTCAGACGTGGGCAGTGGCGTCGGGCTGGTCTCCGGGAGTGAGAAATGTCTTAACATGGCGCACTTTGGAATGCTTTCGTCCATCTCACCTCACCTAGCCCCGGCCGGCGATGATGCCGCGGGGGCCGCGCGCGAGGAGCAGTCAGCGCTTCCCGGTTGGGTCGTGAGCGGGCCGCGGTCAGTGTCTCTGGAAGTGGAGGAAAGCCATGCAAATCCGGTGACAGGCGTCGCGCCGCCAATGGAGAGTAGCGCCGGCCGAGTGCGCCCCCCGTGTCATCTCGATGTGAATGCGAACGTCAGGCGGCCGTTAGGAGCCCCTTGGACGGACGGGCTCTGCGCAGCTCCGCGTCTGTCGGGCGTTGAGGTCTCTAGCCGCTTGCCGTAGACCAGGCCGCTCGAGACGCCCGAGACTCGCAAGGTCCCGGTGCGTAGAGCGTCACCGCTACACCACCAGCAGGGCGTTAGTCTCAACTTCGAAAAGAGTTACACTTGGACACCCCATGTCCCCCATCATGTGCGTCGATGCTCAACTGGGAAATGGGGAGCCGTGCCCCTTTCCGGCTATACTGTACCGGTACCGCATGCAGGCATGCGGGCACGGGCTTGCCTACCGACTGTCACCACGGCGCTTTACGGCCCCGTGCGGGTATGCAACCCGTCTGCACGCCTGCATCCGGTACAGTATAACCAGAGAAAAGCACACGGCGTTGAACACCCCGCCTCCGCTGTGTGTCTATTGACGATCATTGGGTCAGCTTGTATTTAGTTTATGCAAAGGTATCAGCTTCTTATTTTTAGGCAGGCTTGTGTACTTTTTCTCATGGCGACGAAAAGTTTTGTGAGTGCGTGCCCCCGCCTGGTCGCTCGCCCTCGGACCGAGACGAGGCGGAGGAGCATGGGACTTCGCTGTGGGTAATGTCTGGTTGAGGTAATGGGAACAGGGTGTAATGGCTGGAAAGCTCACGCACACACCCACACGCTCTCTCTCTCTCTCTGTCTCCCTCTCTCTCTCTCTCACACACATACACGCACGCCCAAACACACTTGCGCTATCGGCAAGGGTGCGTGAAATCCCCCTATTTTCCGCCATGGTGCTGTCGATCAGCTGGCCGGGGCGGGGCAGCAGAGATCAGCCCGTCATTGTGGAGAATCACTGGGCCGTCTGCTTCGTCTCCCTGGTTAAAAAAAAATACACAAAACGTTCCTCTTTTACTCCAAGCGCATTCTTTTTGTCACATTGTCACACCCAGCGTGAGGGGGGCGGGGCGCGGCGGCGGGCGACCCGGGGGAGTGAGGGGAGGGGGGCGATTAGAAAGAGAGGGCAGGGGGGGGGGGGCAGAGAGAGTTAAATGGGGCGGCGTGGGGAGGTGCTTTTAGTGTGAGTCCTAATGCATCACCATAGATAGGCCATCCCATTCTGATTACGGAAATAATTTATGTCGGAGGGGCGTTGTGGACCCGACGCCAGCGGGGCCGAAATGTCGCGCGTGTCACCACCGACCGACTGACCGAGGAGGGGTGAACTTTACCCACCCGCGACGCGTATACGAGTGTGTCAGTTATGCCCACTCTTCTTTAACTTTATTATTTTGTCCCATCCAAACTACTACTCCTTTCCGTTGCCCCCGCCCGTCTCTCAAGTCATCTCTTGCTGTCATCTCTTGCTCAAGTTTCTTGATTCAAGTGCACGTTGACACAAGATGAAATTCACCATTGAAATAAGGCAATAATGTTGTCATTGATATAAGATTTTTCTCTTATTCGAAAGAAAATATCAGCTTATTTCAATAGTAAATTTTTGATCTTGTGTCAGCGTTCACTACTTGAAGCAAGGAAAAAATCTACTAGAAACAAGAAACGATTTTTCTGGGTGCACTTCGCACGCACGCTGAGCGTGAAATGGGGCTCAGCCATGCGGCCGGTGTTTTCACGGCGTAATCAGCAGCCCGTCTGCTGTGGCGTGGCAGAGCGTGGCGGAGCGGGGGTGAGGGGCGTAGCCGGCGTGGCGAGACACTCGTATAATGCATATTTTCGGTAGTCGCGTGGTATTTTTTTTCCTGCCGCCCCGCTCAGTAAAAAGGGCCGTGGCGTTATTATGCTGCTGGAAGTACACATTCTCTCTCTCTCTCTCTCTCTCTCTCTCTGCCTTACTCTCTCACTCTCTCAAGTCGCGGTGCAGCAGCGGCACCACCGCCCCGCGAGGTCCAATGAGGTGCAATGGAACAGCGGCTCCTGGGGCTTTGCAGCCTGCGGCGCAGCGCCTGCTGCACCTTGTGCCCCCCGCCCCCTCTCGCCCATCTCCGGGCTGCTCCGGGGCGGAGCAGGGAGGAGGCGACGTGCGCGCCTGCGCCTGGAGCCGTCCGGAGCGGCCTGGAGCGGCCTGGAGCCCACCGGAGCCCCTCGCTGGACTGCGCTTGGAGACAAAGGCCGCCCGAGTACAGCCCCTGGAGACAGTGACGGCCAGCTTGTCTCCCCCCGCCGCGATGTTCGCCTCTGGCCGCGACCCCTCTCTGCTCGTCTAATGACTCATGACGCCGGTCTCTGTCGCACTCCCACCCGCGCCATCCCCTCGTGCGCTCGCTAACGTACGCGCCCGGGCCGACTAAACCAACGTGACAGTCTCCCCATTACAGCTCAGTACACGTACTTATACTTGGTCGGCTTCAGCTTCTTTATTTCCACGATTAATCTTCGCTTTCCCCATCGTTCCAAAAATACAGCATATTTTTTGTAATGGTCTATTTTAACATGACTACTCGTACTTATATTTCTGTTGCTCCACAGCAGCAGCTTCTTTCGGAGTAGCAGAACCACTTTGGTAGTGAAACTTGTCGAGTAAGTGGCTCCGTTGCACTTACAGTCGTCGTCGTCGTGTCTCTTGTGGGGGAGAGTGAGATGGGGCGGCGGGAACTGTTAGCAAAGCGGAACATGGGGCGACAACCAATCAATCAAAAGAGCGACCGACACAGTTTGCAGTTGTGTTTGTGTGTGTGTGTGTATGTGTGAGTGCGTGCGCTCACGAACAAACACCACCAGGGTGCAGCGGAGTGCGCGAGGTCGGGGCGTGGAGGGCGGGGCGGGGCGGGGCGCGGCGGCGCTGATTGAAGGCGCTAACGACTCGTTACGCAACCGCAACACAAACGCCCTCTTGATAGGTCATAGCCGCGATGCGTGCGCGCAACAGACAAACGAGCGTCAGGTGTGAGCAGATGTGCCGCAGATGTGGGCTGAGGTGCCAGATAAAGCGGTGACCCGGGGTTCAAATACAGCCGTCGTCGGCCACCTCGCCCCGCGCAGGGCCCCTTTTCTACACCTTCTTTCTTTTTAGCAGATGAAATAAAAGAAGCACAATTAAAGCACACATTCTTCGAATTCGATAAGAGCATTGAAATGTTGGTGAGGAAGCGAGATAAAAGTGACCTGTCGTTCCGCTTTTTGCTAATGAATCGCGGCGAGGGCGCCACGCCACGCTCGCTGTGTGGAGCCGAGCACTTTTAAAAGAGAAATGGTGAATGAGTCCGGCATGTGACACGGCGTGGCGCGCGCGCTGCTCCGCGACGTGGCGCCTGTGTGCGCGGCGTGGCGTGGCGCTGCGTGGCGAGGGTGGTGCTTCCCACCATTGTCATCGAACAGCACTTTCGACTCGACCTTCTGCGCCGCCACTACTTGCTGCTAGCTGCTGCTTCACGGTGAAAACCTTTTCTCCTCGCAGTAGGAGGAATGCATCCTCGCTTGCTTTTGCTCTCTGATGTTATTGCGGGGTGAGCATAGCGCCGGTCGAGTGGTGGCATCGAGTGGAAGCGGCGGGGACGACGACGGTTCGTGGTCCTGGAGCACCAGGAGCAGCAGTAGCAGCGCGCATCTCCAAGTCCACGGAATGCGACGCCCCGCCCGACCCCGCTCCGCCCCGCCCCTGGCGTGTGGAGTAACGCCGCATTAATTGATTTCCAGTGAGAGGGTGTGGCGATCCTTTAAAGGGACCGGGTGTCATGAGGCAACAGGCCATGAGGCCGCCATGGGAACACACACACGCACACACACGCACACATGCCGAGTCATCCGACGCAACACGATTTTCCTTCTTCGATTTCACTGTATCCACGTGATCGAAACATCACAAGGTGATTG